TTCTAGAAGAGGGGAATGTTTATGTGGGTCATCTGGAAGATTCTGGTTAATGAAGATTGTAATTTGGTTATCAGTAGCCTGGATTTGATTTGCTGTTTAATGTTAATTAAGGGTGGCACACGCTTGTAGTTCCAGCAGCTTAGGAAGCTGAGACAGGAAGATGCTGAGTTCAAAGCCATCCTCAGCAACTTAGCAAGGCCCTGAGCAACTCAGCAATAAAATATAAAAAATGGCTGGGAATGTTGCTCAGTGATTAAGCAACCCTGGGTTCAATCCCTGCTACCAAAATAATAGTAGTAGTAATAATAATAATGTTACTTGAAATTTTTCAGTGTTAAAATTTTAAATCCACTTTTTTGAGATATAATGAATATAAAATAACCCACTTAAAGCATTAAATTATTTGGCTGCGACAAATATATGTACTAACATAACCACTATCCCAATCAAGATGTAGAACATTTTCATTGCCCCAGAAAGTATACTCATGTCCCCTTCTGGTTGTGAAGCTTTCAAGACTAAGAGGTCTCTGAAAATAAAGTATTTGAGCTATACAGATTCTAGCCAAAAGGTGAAGGATGGGTCCTGGGACAATCCTAGGCCACCAGCAGCATGGCCAGATATCAGGTAGAAGAATGTCCATTTCATTTATAATGAAATTTTTGGGAGAAGAAACATAAATCATTTACATCGAGCCTATAGTAAATAGAGCCCTATATGAGGGGGTGGCAAAGTCCTGGGATAGGTTAGTCCATAAAGAGAAGTTTTTGCTATTTCTCGTTTGGTTGGTTTCAAAAGCAGAATGAGGTATAGCCTTGATGGGTAATTTTCAGCATATAGTCAAGGAATGTGGAGCATTTGTTGTTCTTTTGTTGTTGTTGTTGTTGTTGTTGACTTACCTTGAAGCTATGGGTTGGTGTAGCCTTATCTTATCTCTTTCTTCCCTCTATTAGGTCTGTAACTTAATTTAGAACATGTCAGAACTCTTCTCTTATCATAGTCCATATCACCCATCCCAGGAAACCACTGCTTGATTTCTATTATTATAGTTTAGTCATGTCTTTTCTAGAACTTCACACAAATGAAACCATACCAGGAGATACACTTTTGTGCTGGCTTTTTTTGCTTAACACACTGTTTTTCAGATATATCCACACATACTGTTGTGTGTAGCAGTAGTTCCTTCCTTTTTATATCTAATAGTTTATTGAATGTACCAAATTTTGTTCATCCATTCACTCATCATAAACATTTTGTTTTCTGTTTTTAGTTATTATGAATAAAGCTATAACAAGCACTCATGTATAAGTCTTTGTGTGACTATATGCTTTCATTTCTCTTAGATAAATACATGGATACATGGAGTGAAATTGCTGGCTCAAGTGTATGTTTGACTTTATAGGAGTCAGTTGTTTTCCAAAGTGTATGTACCATTTTAAATATTCACAAGCAGGATCTGAGAATTCTAGTTGCTCAGCATCCTCTGCCATGCTTGATATATCATATTCCTGGGCCTCCTGTAACAAAGCACTACAAACTGGTGGTTCAAAACAACAGAAATTGATTGTCTCACAGTTTTGGAGGCCAGAAGTCCAAAATCAAGGCAATTTCAGGGCTATACCCTTTCTCTGAAAACTGTGGGAATATCCTTCCTTGCCCTTTCCTAACTTCCTTCTGATGGTTTGCTGCAGTCATTGTGTTCATTGGCTTATAGCTACATAACTCCAGTCTTTCCTTCTTTGTCACATGGTATTCTCCTTGCATGTTGATGTCTTCAAATGACATTTTCTCATAAGGACACCAGTCATATTGGAGTAGGGGCCCACCCTTCTCCATTATGACCACATCTTAACTAGTTAAATTTGCAGTGACCTTATTTTCACATAGGGTCACATTCTGAGGTACTAAGAATTAGGACTTTAATTTATCTTTTATGAAGGATGCAGTTCAACCTGTAACACATTGTATTTTAGCTATTCCCAAGGATAGAAAATGCTATCTCATTTTTGTTTGTGTGGGTTTTTTTTTTAATTTTAATTTTTGTTTTTGAAGCAGGTTTTTTAATGTAGCCTAGGCTGGCCTCAAACTCAGTGGGTTCAAGTGTTCCACCTGTCTCTGCCTCTTAAGTAGCTGGGATTTCAGGTGCACACCACTATGTCCAACTTTATCTCACGGTTTAAAAAAAAAGGAACCTTTTATTTTGAAACTTTTCAGATGGGAAAACTTGTTGCAAAAATAATAAAAATAATTTTTAGGATAACTTTCACCTGGACTAACATTTTACCATATTTGTTTTCATTCTCTTTCTTCCCTTATATGAGTGTGTGTGTGTGTGTGTGTGTGTGTGTTTCTGAACCATTTGAGAAAAAGTCATAGACATGATTTAACTCCGAAGTATTTCACTATGTGTTTCCTAAAACTAAGGCCATTATCTTACATAATAAAAATACACTTATCAAAATCAGGAAACTTACACTGATTACAACATTATTAGCTAATCTGCAAACATTACTGTATTTTGCCACCTTTCCCAAAATATTCTTTACCTAGGCCAGAATCACAAATTGCATTAGATTGTCATATCTCCTTAATTTTCCTTAATTTGGAATAGTCTTTGTACTTGATGACGCCTTTTTTTTGGTATTGGGGATTGAACTCAGGGGCACTAAACCACTGAGCCACATCACCAGCCCTATTTTTGTATTTTATTTAGAGACAGAGTCTCACTGAATTGCTTAGTGCCTTGCTTTTGCAGATGCTGGTTTTGACTCATGACCCTTCTATCTCAGCCACCTGAGCCCCTGGGATTGCAAGCATCTGCCACTACACCCAGCAACTTTGACACTTTTCAAGAATACATGCCAATTATTTTGTAGAATGCTTCTCAGTTTGGGTTTATTTTATATTTGCTCATGATTTCAGATTTTAGTTTTTTTTAATTGAAATCTGAATGGCTGATATATTCACATGTATATTCAGATGTTGAAAAATGTAAGTTAGCCAGGCATGGTAGCCTAGGCCTATAATCCTAGCCACTCAGGAGGTTGAGGCAGAAGGATTACAAGTTCAAGACAAGCCTGGGCAATTTAGTGAGACTCTGTTTCAAAATAAAATTAGAATGGCTGGGTTTATTAGCTCAGTGCTTTTATACATGTATGAGGCCCTTGATTCAATCCTTAGTACCACACAAAGAAAAAAAACAATATATATTAATGAGCACTTAAAAAAAATCTCTGCTTTCTCCCCTTGATCTGAGCCTCCTAGCGATCCCTTCTTGTACAAAGGCAATGATGATAATTTCTTATGGAGGCTTCCAGAAGAAACAACAAAAATCCATATGTATATATACTTTCCCTAATTTTTTATACAGTTTATAAAAGTTAATATTTACTCAGGATTCTACACCCCATGTCTTATTTTTTGTTTTTGTACTTTACAATATATCTTGGAAATTGTCCGTATCAATATGTAAAGGGCTTCTGTCTTCCATTGTGCAAGTGTATCATAGTTTACTTAATCAGCTTCCATTAATGGACATTGGCCTAGATTCTTAATATCAACTGGCTATAGGTAGTTCTTCACTTTTGCTACTCCTTCTCTGAATGACTAATGACTTGGAGCTATACAGGAGATAATGGGAAATGAGTGATTAAAATGCCAAGAAATAAAAAGTGTCAACTAGCTATTATTATAGATACCACACACTTGGTTATGTGTTCCTTCATTTAATAGGTATTAAATATTTACAGTGTTTTAGTTCCTCTATTAAGGGATAGAGAATAGAGAACAAGGCTGCAATGGACTTACAAATTTGAAATGCCTTTTTCAATTGAAGCTGGTCTCTATAAGATAAACAATTCACATTCTAGGTCAATCCTGTTGCACATAATTTCCTCTAATAAGTGGGATTCCCAATGTATTGTAAGGCCAGCACACTCTCTTGACATCTTTAGGTCTCATGGTCTGGGGAGTTAGGCCATGAGACCCAGTGGCAAGTTTCCCTGCTCTCACCATATATGCCTTCACTCAGCAGGAAAGGCTGTCTTCCAATTATCTCCACCATCAGCCTGACCAGATATATTCTGCCTAGTGCTCCACCTAACCATTTCACCTCCCTGTCAGCCTGTGAAATTGTTCAGATAAGCCAGTCATATCATTCCACAGTAACCATGGGTTACTTCTTGTCACTACAAAGCCTGCTTCTCACAGTCCTGCTGGTTCACTCTGTCTCTGAGTGAAACCCTTGTGTGACCCTGCATAGTGTGTGAGGTCTTCCTTCCTGGTCTATGACTCGATGTGATTAATAAATTATTGTACATCTCATGTATCTAATGTCATATGTTTCGTTATCTTGTAATGAATAGGGCAGGAAATCCTTTCTTCACCAATGATCTAAATAGGAAGTGATCAGAACGTCATCACCACTTCTCCAGTAGAAATCTAGAGCAGCTTTTACTACCTTTCCCTGTATTAGTCTGCTTTCTGTTACTATAACAAAATAAACATGGTTGGGTCTTTATTAACAAAAGAGGCTTATTTAGTTAATAGGTTTAGAGATTCAGAGGCATGACACTGGCTTCTAGTTGATTCTGGTAAAGGCTTAATGGCAGATGGTATCACAGAGGTGAAAGGGCATGGAAAAGGAGATCATGTGGCAATATAGGAAGTCAAGAGAGTAGGGAGGTACTAGTAACAACCTCCCACTATGCCCCACCCCATAAATGCTCACCCTCTTAATGCTGCCATCCTGGGGACCAAGTTTCTTACACAATCTTTGGAGACACACCCCCTCCAAGTCCAAACCTTAGCATTCTGTTATACCAACTCTTCCTGTTCTTGACTCCCAAACCACTTTCTATGTTATATTTATCTCTGATAATATCTCGTAATAATATCTGTTTTCACTGCAGATGTTGTTTTAATGTCAGAAGGTAGCATGTTTTTCTCACACAGATCTCTATCGTAGCCCTTTTCCTCCTAGTGTACTTGGTTTTTCATGGCCCTCAGAGGGTTTTACTGGCATAATCCCTTGTTGAGGAGGAATTTATAGTTTCAGGAATCAGTGACATTCAAGGATGTGTCTGTGGATTTCACTTGGGAGGAGTGGATGCACCTAGATTCTGCTCAGAGGAACTTGTATGGGAAGGTGATGCTGGAGAACTACAGGAACCTGGTCTCACTGGGTAAGGACTTCTCCTTGTAATTCAAGACCTACCTCTTGACACCTTTTCCCCCCAATCCTGTACAACGTCTGAAATTTGTGAATTTGGACTGGAAATCCTAGCTTTTATAGGGCATTGTCTTAGGGTATTTGCTCGGTGTCCCCTCTTTCAAGGTGAACGGTCTTTTCTGTAGAGAGTGGAAAATGGGAAATTTCATAAGCTACACCTTCCTTTGTTTCAGAAACGTTGACAAGGAAGGGATCAGAACAATACTGGGATTGGTTTTTAGACTCAGTTCAAAACCCAAACTTGTTCTCTTTCCTCCCTTGCAGGGCATCAGCTTTCCAAACCTCTTGTGATCTCCCAGCTGGAACAAGAAGAGTTGAATCTGAAGAACAAAGAACTCCCAGGGTGTGCTTCTCCAGGTAAGTGTCAGGGTTTGTTATGTGAGACATACCTGAGTGTATTTCAAGGGGGAGAAATCACTTCAGGGAGCCTTGGGTCTGGAGAGACTAGTGGCAATTGATATATATTCTGAGGACACCTCGGATTACTGATGGGGCACATTCTTCTAGCTCTTGCCTGCATCCTTATATTGGAGGGAAGTCATACATTACAAGGATTAAACGAGTCACTACATTTGTATAACTTGTTCATCTCCTAGAACAAACTAAGTATTCAGTAAATGTTAGAAGTCTCTTCTGTCTTCATCTAGACTTTGAATTGAATCTCTATCATTCTATCTCCTCTGAATAATGTGTCTCCTCTTATTGTCTTTCATGAATTTTTCTTCCAAGTTGTAACTTATATCCCTAAATTCCCTTCCCTTACTATTTAACATTTGGAAGCTTTATTCACATTTAAAGGTATCCAACATTCTTCTTCCTCTACCTCAGATAGGTGTTTTTTAGTCTATGTTTAAAACATGAAAAATGACTGTAGCTTCATTTTAATTTTTATCAGTCTTCCATTGTATATATTTTGGTTTTCATTCCTGAATTTTTTTAATATTTATTTTTTTAGTTGTAGTTTGACACAATACCTTTATTTTATTTATTCATATTTATGTGGTGCTGAGGATCGAACCCAGGGTTTCACACATGCTAGGCTAGTGCTCTACCACTGACAGCCACAACCCTCATTCCCCAATATTTTAATCTGCATTCACTACCCATCCAATTGCATTTTCCTTTTAATGTTTAATGCTTCTTAATCTTTATTTCCTGGTCATATCACCAAAAGTTCTTTTTTTAGATTTCATCACTGGCTTATTTCTGCAGAAATGCATTTCAGATCTTTATTTTCCTTATGTTATGTAAAAGTATCTTATCTTTTCTTTTTTTGGTCATGATGTTGAGGATTGAACCAAAGCCTCAGAACCCTGCATGCTAGTGATACCTGTCCAGTGTAGATTGGGAACCTGCTATTGACGATTAAATACCTGAGGAATGCCAAGGCAAGCATAGAAAGCAAGTTTTATTTAAGAAAGTGATAGAGGACAGACTTCCCCGATGAGGAGGGGCTTCAGAGCTGAAAACCTGTGGGAGGGGGTACAACTTGTTTTCTTAATTATTGTCTTTAATTGTTGTCTTCTCTTTTTTCCCCATATATGTGAAAACAGGAGCAGGAGGTGGGAAGTTAATTGTTAGCAACTCAGAGTACCAGGGAGCACAATAGTGGAAGTTAACATTTAGCAACCCATTGATAACCAGTTGTCACCCTCCCAACCCCCATCATTCATTACCTACACTGATTGCCTATCCTTTACCCCTGCCTCCATTTGCTGAGGAATGTGACATATCCTGTCCACTTAGGCTAGGAAGGGCTGCATGCAAATTGTGTTTTTAGCAAAGAAAGAATGTGGCAGGGTCAGCACTGTGGGCCCATTTTATAGAATTATTCTCTCAACCTGGTGTTCTCACCATTGTCATTTTTCTGACATTAGACAGGTCCTCCACTGCTGAGCTGCATCCCCAATCGAATCATATCTTTTTATATTTTTTAATATTAAAGAGCTAGTAAATATTTATATGCTCTCTGGATAGTATAAGTCTATCAAAGTAAAAAAGAATAATCAAAAATAACCAACATGGTTTTGACATCATAATGAAAATACAAATAACTGGGACAGAAGCAGACCTCAAACAGATCATCAAGCTTTCCTTTATTTTGCCCCAGAGTCAATCATCAGGCATAGGAGGACTCATTTTCTGGATACGGAAATGGTCTCCAGGTTATAGAAGGAGCCTCAGTTTTACAGTTTACAGTGAGGGTGAATTAGTCATTGGAGACGATGGATGTGTGATTCAAATAGTCAGGGACCTAGCTATACAGGTAAAAATTTCAACTCAGGAAAGCAGTTGTAAAATTTGTCACTGAGAAAAGCTCAGAACTTGTTGTTCTTCCTTCCTCTTCGACCCATTGTTATCTAGAGCTTCACTATTTGTTTTTCTCTTTCCAGGACTCATTGGCAATGGGAAATGATAAAAGTGCAGGGCCCAGAGTTTCAGTATCTGCTTTCTCCATTCAGAACCCACTGTGGTTAAGAAAGGGTGAATGTTTGCTTTTGGTGGAGGTGCTGGGGATGAACCCAGGAAGGGATGAAAGTTTGCTTTTCCCTCAGGGCTCACTGTCACTGTGAAAGGATGTACTGGGAGAGGTTTAATGTTTGGCTAATTTCCCGCTCTCCTCTCAAGCCACACTATTTTTCTAGGGGGCTGTCTTGTAGGAATATTATTTTCTTTTTGTTATTTATACATGACAGCAGAATGCATTACAATTCTTATTACACATATAGAACACAATTTTTTCATATCTCTGATTGTATACAAAGTATATTTACACCAATTCGTGTCTTCATACATGTACTTTGGATAATAATGATCATCACATTCCACCATCATTTCTAACCCCATGCCCCATCCCTTGCCCTCCCACCCTTCTGCCCTATCTAGAGTTCATCTACTCCTCCCATGCTCCCTCTCCCTATCCCACTATGAATCAGCCTCCTTATATCAAAGAAAACATTTGGCATTTGATTTTTTGGGATTGGCTAACTTCACTTAGCATTATCTTCTCTAACTCTATCCATTTACCTGCAAATGCCATGATTTTATTCTCTTTTATTGCTGAGTAATATTCCATTATGTATATATGCCACATTTTTTTTTAATCCATTCATCTACTGAAGGACATCTAGCTTGGTTCCACAGTTTAGCTATTGTGAATTGTGCTACTATAAACATTGATGTGGCTATGTCCCTGTAGTATTCTGTTTTTAAGTCCTTTGGGTATAGACCAAGAAGAGGGATAGATGAGTCAAATGGTGGTTCCATTCCCAATTTTCCAAGAAATCTCCATACTGCTTTCCATATTGGCTGTACCAATTTGCAGTCCCACCAGCAATGTATGAGTGTGCCTTTTTCCTCACATCCTCACCAACACTTATTGTTGTTTGTCTTCATAATAGCTGCCATAATAGTGACCCTTCATAAAGAGATTTTAAAAAAATTATAAAAGTATCCATGCAAAGTAACTACTGTACCTTGAAGGAAATCAGAAAACAGTTTGAGCCAAACAAGGCTCAGCCCAGGAGCACAGATTCAAGTTCTCTTGAATGAATGTTTCAAAAAAAAAAATAGTAGGTGTTACAACTTATTACCTAAAACAAAGGTTAATTGATACATTGAATAGATAACAAATCTGGGGACATTACATAGGCAATTAAGATAGAGTGGTAAAATTTGACCACTGGACTGAATGGTATCGTAGTGATACAGGAGATCTTGTTTTGTTCTTGCTCTTGTGCTCTGCAATGATAAAATTTCAGAAAGATACGAGACTTAGTAATAATATAGCAAAGTTTATTAGAAGGGAAACAAAACAGTCTCAGGGAAGATTGACAATGAGCCCCCTTTGTTTCCCAGTTTTATTGGAGATTTTAGGAAATTTTCTAGAGTGTTCTGCCTAGTTACCACCTTTCAACTTTTGACTGACAGTAGGATTGCCTCAGATTTTTAAGTCCCTACTGCACATGATCTTACCCACACCACAGGTACCCAAGCAAAACTTACTGGGGGGAGGAGGGAATTTTACTGTTAAAAGGACATGTTAAATTTAGATCTAAAAGCAAATCTAGGTTACCTCAGCGGGTACTTATTGGTTCTAATTGGAACTTGTTCTTACAGATTTTATGGTCATTGACCTTTGTTTGTAATTATCCTATCTTCCTGAGTCCTGGAATTTTTGGTATATATAAAGGTCTCCCTTTTAGGGTAACTTATATTCTCCTTCTTGATGGAGATAGTAGCTTCGCAGATAACAGGTTGTTTGCTGAGGAATATAACATATCCTATTGACTTAAACCAGGGTAGGGTAGGAGTAACCTTAGGGAAATTGCTTTTTTAAAGAAATTCTGGGGGGTGGGCAGTTTCCCCTCAATTCCATATGCTCATATCTGTCTGCTACCTATTATTACTATATTCTTAGTGAGAAAATTGGTCAAGGCAGGAGTCTGTTCTTTGTCAAGCTATGGTTGGTCAATTAAGTCTAACATTAAAACAGGTTCATCTAATAGGTACAAAAGTCAGAAGGAATGGAATGTTTTCTAAAGGCTGAAATAGCCCCTATAATCCTCTAGTGTCCTCCATTGCAGGACTTCAGTAAGCCTGCCCATGTTTACAGTTCCCTGTGGAAGAAGTTATTCATCTGGTGCTTGCCTGAAGAAATTCTATCACAGTAGTTTCTTCAAGAATGTTCAATTTCACAACAGGGGAAAAAAATAACTTTAGGACCATCACTGCTGGTTTCCAGTAAACTCTGAAGAATCAGATTCTAGGAGTGGAGTTATAGGCCAAAGAGTATATTACATCTTAATGGGTCTTGCTACATATTCTGTAACTTTGGAAACTATTTTATGTTTTTAATGCTAATTTATTTGGCAAAACAGGATCTTTTAGGGGAGCTTTAATCACTTTTATTATAGCTGTCTTTTACTCTGGCTTTGATTACTGTTGCTATTGGTGTTTATTCATATGTAAATGACTTATTCACTCCACAAATGTCTGCTGAATACTAGGCCCTGTTACTAGCTGTGGGAATATAGTAGTAAGAAAAACAGGCAGCTGCCGTGAGGTACTTACATTCTAGTGGAGGACACCATAAACTAAGAATGAAAGAAGGAAGGGAGGAAAGGAAGACAAGATATAGAGTAAGAAAAAAAGAAAGAAAGCTAATGATTATAATATGGTTGTAGGTGCTGCATGGAAAAATAAAGCAGGATAAAGGGACTAAGTTAGTTAACAGGACTTTGTTTATAGGGGTGGTCAGGGAACAGGTGACTTTTGAACAGATGCTCCAATAAATTGATGGGCCATATGGGAGGACATTCTGACTATAGGAGATAGCATGTGCAAAGACCTGAGGTAGAAGAAGAGGAGAGTGCTTATTTCTTTTTATTTCTTCTGTGTTAAAAAAAATGTTTCTATCAGATTTTTTTATTTCCATGAGCTACTTTCTTGTTCTCTAAATGTTTCTTCTTTTTGAAGGAGAGGGGGTACCAAGGATTGAATTCAGGAGCATTCAACCACTGAGCTACATCACCAGCCCAATTTTGTATTTTATTTAGAGACAGGGTCTCACTGAATTGCTTAGCACCTCGCCGTTGGTGAGGTTGGCTTTGAACTTGATATTCTCCTGTCTCAGCCTTCTGAACCACTGGGATTATAGGCATGCACCACCATGCCTGGCTCCTCCTCTTTTTGATAGCAGTCTTTTTAATTAACCTTTCTTGTTTGTATGAAGATATTTAAGATTATTTATTTATTTTTTGGTTGTTTGGGGGGTTGTCGGTATATATACATGCAAGATTTTTCCCTCATTCCCTATATTATTTTAGTGAGTTTATTTAGGACTACGTTGTAACTTTACTGGGCATTCAGTAACAGCAGAAGAAAATACATTTTTGATATAGTGTTTTCCTCTCTCACTCCTTTACCCCCATCAGGCTTCTCTGTTGGGTTGGATCCTAAAGATTATTCATTTATTATTGTATTTCACCCAGTATTTTACTTGTCTCTTTGAATATCTATTTGCATACTAGCACTGAATTGCCTTATTGAGCATATATTTCTTTGTACCTCCTGCCTATTCCATTACCTACCAGACTAAATACTTAATGTATTTATTTAGTGAATGTTGAATGACATCAAGTAAAATTTTTAGAAATCAAGTGAAAAATGTGGCTTCGGCAGTCGTAACCATATTTGTGAAATTCATATTAATGAAAAATGGTTAATTATCAGAGAGAGTGTGTGAGAATATTTCAGAAGCACCCAGATAGAACCCCGAGGCCGGGGTAACATTTGGCCGGGGGCCAAAGATGCTCTCATAAAGGTGACAGAAAGAATGTGAGAGGAGAACAGTGTTGCCAGGAGAGCTGGATCAAGGAAAGAGAGAAAAGCAGAGGGAAAGCAACAGGGTTGAGAAAGAAATGAAAAAAATGCCTCTGGACTTGGTCTAAGTCCACTCTGAGAAGAGCCCTGTTAGTGCTGAGGCAAGTATTCTTTGGGGGGGAAAGTGACAGAGAAACAAACAAGAAAATACAATAATGAGCAGGTGAAGGAGAAGCACATGAGTACAGTCTACCATTTCAACAAGGTTGGCTCTGAAGGAAAAGGAAGGAAGAACAAGAACTGAAAGAAGCCAGACAGAGGTATAATGCCTCTGGTATGTTTTTTAATAAGAGAAAGACTTGACTGTAGCTCTAAGGACAGAAGTATCCAATAGAGAAGGAGAAACTATCTGTCAAGAATGAGACCCAGAGAACATGATGACTTACAAACTCCAGTTCTTGTTCTTTCCAGATTTTCTTGGATATTACTGCCAGACTAATCTACTATTTAGTCCTCTTAGTATCCTGTCCAAGCCAAGAAGAGAAAGAATCGACTAAGTACTGTGCTCGGCTCCTCCCCAGTCATCACCTAATCTACTCATCATAACAAACCTACAGGGTAGGTATTATTAGCCCCTTTTATAGTGGAAGAAATGGACTCAGAATGAAATAACATGCCAGAATTCAACATAGGTGTTTTGGTCTCCAAGTTTAATTCTTAAAAAAAAAAAAATCGTAACTTGATTTTCTTGCCTTGCTGTGGCTTCCTATTATTTCCTAATATAACTAGTAAACTAGTAAAACTAGAAAACTAGAGCTTCTAATTTTCCTTTTGATTCATCTTTTTCTGTAGTAAAGTATTATTTATATAGTTATCGAGTGCTTTGTTAGATTTTGTATGAAAAAAGATGAGTAGCAAATGGAAAGAGAAATGCTGTTCCTGATGCCAATATTAATGCTAGCTAGCTTGTTATTGTTTAAATGAAGAAAAATTATTAGTAATATAGAAAGCAGTGAATTTTAATCAGTGGTCATTAGACTTAAATCAGTTCATATTTAGTTATTAAGGAAACAAAAATTAACATTATGTACAAAGTTTTAGTTAATATATATATATAAAGTATTAGAAATTTATTATTAAGACTGGGCCTAAAACTGGACCTAGCAATTGTGGAGGCTGAGGCAGGAGGATTGCAAGTTTGAGGCCAAACAGCAACTTAGTGAAGTTCCTGTGTCCAAATAAAAAAGGACTGGGGATGTAGCTCAGTGGTAAAATGCCCCTGGGTTAAATCCCTAGTACCAAAAATAAGTAAGTAAATAAATAAATAAATAAGTTTTAAATTTTTTGTAAAAATTAAAAATATAGTTGGGGATTCTATATTTTGTGCTCTCCAGGAAGCTACCCCTAACTACTCCTAAATGTGGAAGCTTATTGCCTGTGGTTTATATGTGATTTTAAATTATTTTTATAGATGTCCTGGGTAACTCTGTGTGTGTGTGTGTGTAAATATATGCATACACACATACACACACACCAAGAATTATATACTGTTACAGAGTCCCTATCTGCATTCATATCAACATGAACATCATTATGTTAATAAATACACATCTTTGTTTCTCACCTACAGAAAATTTTAAATGTAGAAGTACTCCAAAAGCATGTTCATTCTTAACAGGACAGGCCCACTGCTATCTCAGGACAGCAGCACTAGCCTCTTTCTGGGTTGCTCTCCCTTAGATATTTCTGTGACTTCCTCTCAGCCCCTTGAAGTCTTGAATTAAATGTCATTTTCTCTTCCTGTGTTCATATGTGAAACAACCACAAAATGTACAACCACAAAAATGGGATCCTAATTAGAATAAGTTATACTCTATATATGTATAATATGTCAAAATACAGTCTATTGTCATGTGTATCTTAAATAATGAAATAATAGTAATAGTAATTCTAAAAATAAAAATTTGCCAAAAAAGTCACTTTCTCCATGAAGTCTGTCCTAATGACCCTATTTAAAATTGAAAACCTTACTTCTCATATTCCCTATTTCCATTTTGTTGCTTTTATTGTTATTCCATAAGGCATACTGCTTAAATACTAGGTGTTTTACTTTTTATATTGATTGTTCTCCTTCCTGTCACTAAAGTATGAGTGCCATAAGGACAGAATTTTGTGTTTTTCATTGCTCATCCTAAGCACTTTTAAGTGTCTGGCTCAATAAATAAATAGTGAATGATGATTTATCATGCTTAACAGATCTGGCTGCTGTGTGGAGACTGTATTGTAGGATTGCAAGTATATACATAGGAAATTCAGTCAGGTGGGTACTGAAATAGTTGTTTTGTTATGAGTTCTTTAACTATTACAAAGAATGTGGAAGAAATATAAAACAAAAAAACTTGCCCTCGGCTGCTACCCAACCCTCCTATCTCTACCCCAATACTATGTAAGCTCTTGGTATCTGCTATGGCCTATTCTATTCATAAATACTGAAGATCTGTGCTTGATTATGGAGACTCTTGTTCATGTCCCAATGAGTCCCCAAATTATAGAAATCTTATAAGTTAACCAGGAAAGTCTGAAAAAGCATTCTAAGACAATAAAGGAATATAAGTTATCACTAAAATCTCCTATTTAAGAAAAAAGGAATACAGAACTTCCTATTACTTAATATAAAACAATAACGGTAATGATAAAAGCTTATAGTCATTGAACCCTTAGAGTGGTAGAGCTAGAGCATAATGCTGTGTGCTTTATAAAGTCCCTATTTAATGACATAGCAAAGTGTCAAGAGACTGAAACATTGTTCAGTCCTTGACCCTTAAAACTAAACTTCATTAATTCTTAGTAAAGCCATTCTAACAATCTGTCATTTTGTGGATAGATCATAATTAGGGAAGAATGAGAATTCCTCTCTTCTCAATTGCCTAGTTGTATTGGTCAATTGTGGAATGACATTTAATAGAAGTAGTAATAAATAGTAAGAACCCTTTCCTTGATCTTGTCAGTGAGAATTCTTCTAGTTATTTGTTTTTATGCTTAGTGCAATGCTAACTTTTCTTGCAAATCAGAAGTGAGTGTTGAGTATTATCTAATACTTTTGAAGTATCTATATATGTCCTTTATATTATGAACTATCAATATAATACTAATTTTAGGTGTTATTTTACTGTAACTAGTATATGTGTATATGGTACAACATGCATAGCAGAAAATTACAATTTTAGCCATTTTTAATGGTTAGTTTGGAGGCGTTTAAATACATTCACATTGTTATGCAGCAGCCGCTGCCATCCAATCTTCAGAACTTTCTCATCTTCCCCAGCTGACACTCTGCCAATTAAACACTTCCCCCAATCTCTGGCAACCATTCTACTTTATGACTCTGAATTTGGCCACTGTAGGTATGTCATTTAAGTTCAATCACACAGTATTTATTATTTTGTGACTGGTTTTTTTCACCTAGAATAACGTCTTCAGGTTCCATCCATGTTATAGAATTTCCTTTTTTGACTGAATAATATTTCATCGATGCATTTGCCATACTTTGTTTATTCATTTATCCATTGATGTACGTTTGTATTTCTTCCTCCTTTGGGCTATTATGAACATTGCTGCTTTGAGCATTGGTGCACCCTTTCAGTTATATACCATGAAGTGGAATTTGCTGGATTAAATGGTAATTCTGTTTTTAATTTTTTGAGGAACTGCTATACTGTTCTCCACAATGGTTGTGCTATTTTATATTCCCACCAGGCCTGAAAAACCTCAGCATAATACAGGCCATATATGAATAAACTGACAGCATCATATTCATGGTGAAAGACTACAAGCCATTCTTCAAAGATCAGGAACAGGGGAATGATACCCACTCTCTCCACTTCTAATCATCATCACTTTTGTCAGTTGTATAAATATTGGACAGTTTAGTTTCCCATTCTCTTGTTGATGGAGATTTGGGTTTTTCTCAATTTTCTTCTGTTGTGCATAATGTTACTCAAAGCATTATGGATCTTGTATACCTTTGTAAGGCAGATTTACCTAAGTACTTTTATCAACTAGATTTGCTAAATCACAATCTGTTTATTCTCAGTTGTACTAAACTGTTTTCACAATACTTTTAGCAAATATCACTCCCACTAGCCAGCCACATGTGAAAGTTCTCATTACCATACTTTTTAACAAAATATGAAACTATTTGAATTTTTACATTTTGTTATGCAGAGAGATGTGTTAATGGTATCTCTTTACACCTGTATTTTGCCTTCCTCTGTATACCACCGAGATTGGGCATCTTTATTTATGTTTACAAACCATTCACATTTACTTTTAATAAGTACTTATACAAGGTTTTGCCCATTTTTCTAATGGGCTTAGCTGTTTCATAGACATTGTTTTATAAGTCCAGGACAAGTTCTTTATGGGTCCTGTGTTGTACATATCATCTCCTGGTCTATAGCATCTGTTTTCTGTTTGTTTTGTGTTTGGTGGGGGGGTGGTATCATGGATTGAACTCAGGGGCACTAGACCACTGAGCCACATCCCCAGCCCAATTTTGTATTTTATTTAGAGACAGGGTCTCACTGAATTGCTTAGTTCCTAGCCATTGTTGAAGCTGGCTTTGCACTTGTGACCTCCTGCCTCAGTCTCCTAAGCCACCGGAATTATAGGCATGTGCCACTCCACCCAGCTATTTTTACTTTCTTCATGTCTTTGGTAACTGGAAACATTTAATTATCTCAACATTTATTCAGCCTTTTGGTTTTTATGCTACTTCTTTTGTTCTTATTCTCCTCTTATTATAATTTTAAAAATTTATTTCCTGAATCTCTAGATACTTTACAAACTCAATATTTTCTGTGTATCATGATATCATGTATCTTTCAATGGAGGCAATTCTTTCTAGACTTTATTATTATCTAACCTTGTGAATGGATTCTGCTTTGCTTTCTGGGTAGAATTTTATTCCCAAAGAACTCGAATTGGATAGCTGGATATGACCATAGTCAAGTGGAGCAAGATACTGCTGTCATTTCATCATATGTTGCTGCAAATATTTTCATATTTAATTGCATAGATCTCCTCTCTCAGGGTACTTTGTGGGGTCTTGATTTCTTTTAGCTTTTCCCTTTTTATGTTTTTTATATAAACAGGTCAGGTTGGAGGGGAACCCATTTAATGCATCTCTTGCTTCAGTCAGGCCTGTGCTCACAGCCTTTAGATCATTGATTTATTGTCTTATCTCTGCTCTCTTGACTTGGATAAGCAACTATAATCCTGAGATTATAGTTTTCTATTCTCTCCCCCGCCCCATTGTCTATGGGATCTGAGAAAATAAAGTCTGAGTGACTCCAATTTCCTTCCTTTAGGCCCTCTCCAGCAGCTCAACAGTTCTCCTTTGCCTGCCCCTGCCATGCCACTAGTTCTCACCTTCCTGGAGAAGATATTTAGGAAAGTGTAGAACTCTTTAGGATTCTCTTAACTCTGTGAGCCTACTTAAAGTTGAAGGAGAAAAAGCCTGTGGATCACATCAGTTTCAAGTATGTCCAGATATTTTTGTTGCAAACAAGTCTGTTGCCCAAGGGTAGTTTGTGTACATTATCTTACCTACTCCTTATAAGATTTTCTTTACTTGTAATTTAAATCAGTGAAAAATCAGACCAAGAGAAATAAGGAAAAAGTGTTAAAAGTCATGGTTTGAACCCATTTTTCTGACTCTAGGATCAACGGTCTTTTTACTATGTCACATTGTGATGCTTTATGAAGATTATTTGGTACATAATTCTAAGCAGCCTTATGGGAGTAAAAGAAACTGCTGGTAGGAATATCAAGTATGAGGTAGCAGGACTTTCTGTCATCTTCCACCAATCCTAGGTCTTCTGAATATTTTCCCTTTGTTCATCTTCATTGTTTGTCCATCACTCCTTAATGAGCTCACTCCTTTCTCTGCTTGCCCAGTAGATCTTCTATCCCTGTCTTCTAGTTCCCCTGTTTTCCATCAACTGGTTCACTGTTTTTTCCTTCCTTTCCAATTTCTCTATGTTATTGTAAAGGTATCTTTGAAAGTTCTAAACCATATCTAATAGTTATTCTAGTTTAATTTCTCATTACTACCTTATACAATTTTTTGTCTCCTAGCATACAAACTAATATACCTTTGAATTTTTTTTTCCAGATTGGGAAAACAAACAGTCAGCTCCAAAACCCAGCATTACTGAAGATTTATCCCATGGGGTCATAATGGAAAGGGAACATGTCTGGCATTCAACCTTAGGGGAAACCTGGGAACCTGGAAATTGGTTAGAGGGGCAACAGGAGAAACATCTGGGCCAAATGGCATTTACCCACGAGGAAACCCTCACAGAGAGAAGGGTATGTAGAGGGGATGAATTTGAAAGATTTCCCAATCAGGGTTCAGTCCTTGATACACCACAAAGCATTTCCATGGCAAAAAGATCCTGTAATTGGATTTCACAAGGAAAAGACTCCAAACAAAATTCTGAATTAATGAAAAATCAAAGAATGTTTGTAGGAAAGAAAATCTATGAATGTAATGAATGCAGGAAAACCTTCAGCCAGAGCTCATCACTTCTTAAGCACCAGAGGATCCATACTGGGGAGAAACCATATAGATGCAATGTATGTGGCAAGCATTTTATTGAACGCTCATCTCTTACTGTACACCAAAGAATTCATACTGGAGAGAAACCTTACAAATGTAGTGAGTGTGGGAAAGCCTTCAGTCAGAGCATGAATCTTACCGTTCATCAAAGAACTCATACTGGAGAGAAACCTTATCAGTGCAAAGAGTGTGGAAAAGCCTTCCGCAAGAATTCATCCCTTATTCAACATGAAAGAATTCATACTGGAGAGAAACCCTATAAATGTAATGAATGTGGGAAAGCCTTTACACAAAGCATGAATCTTACTGTGCATCAGAGAACTCATACAGGAGAAAAACCCTATGAATGTAACGAATGTGGAAAAGCCTTCAGTCAAAGCATGCATCTTATTGTTCATCAGAGAAGTCACACTGGAGAAAAACCTTATGAGTGTAGTGAATGTGGAAAAGCCTTTAGTAAGAGTTCAACTCTTACCCTACATCAGCGAAATCACACTGGAGAAAAACCTTACAAATGTAACAAATGTGGGAAATCCTTTAGCCAAAGTACATACCTTATAGAACATCAGAGACTGCACTCTGGAGTAAAACCTTTTGAATGCAATCAGTGTGGAAAAGCTTTCAGTAAGAATTCATCACTTACTCAACATCGGAGAATTCATACTGGAGAGAAGCCTTATGAGTGTATGGTATGTGGCAAACATTTCACTGGGCGATCATCCCTTACTGTACATCAGGTTATTCACACTGGAGAGAAACCTTATGAATGCAATGAATGTGGAAAAGCCTTCAGCCAGAGTGCATATCTTATTGAGCATCAAAGAATTCATACTGGTGAGAAACCCTATGAATGTGATCAGTGTGGGAAAGCTTTCATTAAGAATTCATCCCTTATAGTACATCAGAGAACTCATACAGGAGAGAAACCCTATCAATGTACTGAATGTGGAAAAGCCTTCAGTCGGAGTACAAACCTTACAAGACATCAAAGAACTCACACCTAAGGACAGTGTTTACTGTCCCCTTCATCATGATTAACTCTTCAGTAATCAGATAAAGTCATGTTGAGGTAGACACCTAATAAAGGTAACAGTTGTGGGTAATTTTTAGTTGACATACAATCTACCATATTGGATAACATAGACCACAGCAGAGAAATCATATGGAAGTGAAGAAATCTGGATTCAAAAGATAAAATGTACTTTTTAACAGAAGGTTTGAGAAAGTAATGTATAAACAGTGAACATTCATGCTCAAGGTAAGTTCTATTGTATCATACTGCAAATTCTCCTTGGGACATCTGAGAATTCACACTGGAGAGAAAATGTGTCAGTGCTTAACTGGATAGCCCAAAGACCTGGTTTGTAGTCCTGACCTGCCGCTAACTTGGACAAGTTACTCACTTTTAGCAGGTCACAATTTTCTTACCTAGTAAATGAGAGATTTTGGATGTAAAAGGTCTGGGGGATCCGTATTAGCTAAAATGTTACAAACCATGATGCCAGGAAATCTTTGGCCTTTTACTCTGTTATGTATGTTGTCTAGGTGCTTCTTTTCCACAGTAAGGTTTCCTTGGATGTTTCGAGTCAAAATTTTCTACCTCTACCAATTTCTAATGCCCTTCCATGTCCTTCTCTCTTTCCCTGCATTACTTTCTACCTTAAAATGTAGGCTGATTTCTACCAGATAATAGAATAATTGTACAAATCTTAATGTAATAGCATGCTATTTTGAGTTCTTCATAGTCTTAAACTGTTGTTAAATTAGCTGATTATTTAGAAAACAACATAATTTAATATTGTATTTAAGCACAGAAGAATCAAATAAATACATATCTTTATGTCATATTCAGCTATCAGAATGATAGTTGATACCAGGGATTGAGCTCAGGGACATTGACTGAAGGCATGAACACTAAGAAATATGGAAATTTAGCATATTAACACAATATTTGCAACTCAAAACATTCAGAACAATCATAGGGATATTTTATAGATCTGTTATGATGATAGTAGTTTAATTTCATTTCTTTCACACAAATTTGCCAAGTCCTAAATATGGGCTAGACATGATTAGTCAAAATGATTTAAGATTCATTCTTTATTTTTAAAGGATAAACTAAGAAAGTAGCAGTATAATGGGATAGGAAAAGAAAAGTCAAGCAATAATTTATAATTTGGCACAATCTAAAAAAAGCTGTAACTGATTAGGTATGGCTATTTGAAATAGAAGGATGACTTAAATTTCCTATTTGTGTAGATTGGGATTCCATAATTAAAACCCCATAAATTAGCCATCTTTGTGCAACAATGATGTGTTCTGTTTGAAGGCATTTTGATGTGTCTCTGGAACATCCAAGAAAAGAGTCCTGAGAAGAAGTAGAATAAGAAACGTGGTACAGGGCACACTGGGAGTACTGTCACTGGTGAGGAAAGTGAAGCAAAAGAGGAATCAGTAAAAGCTGAGAGGAATGAACTATCAAAAGAAAAATATAAACAGGAAAATCAGGAAGCAATGAAACCACAGAAGTAAAAGGAAATTTTTAACAGAGATGGGAATAGTTAATATCAAATGCTTCAGAATAAAGTACTTTAATTTTTTTATGGTTCTGGGGATTGAGCCCAGAGCCTTGTGCATGAGGCAAGCACTCTACCAAATGAGCTGTATCCCCAGCCCTGTACTTTGCTTTTTTGGGTGGGGGGGTAATGAAGATTGGGTTCAGGGACACTCAGCCATTGAGCCACATCCCTGGCCCTATTTTGTATTTTATTTAAAGACAGGTCTCACTGAGTTGCTTAGCGCCTTGCCATTGCTGAGGCTGGCTTTGAACTTGTGATCCTTCTGCCTCAGCCTCCTGAGCTGCTGGGATTACAGGCTCGTGCCATCGTGCCTGGCTCTAACCTTTGTTTTTGATTAACAATTTAAAACACATAAATTTTAATGTGTTTGAAGAGTGAGTTAAATGTTGAAAATGACTTAGTAGCTTTACTGATATGGGAGAGATTTAGAAAGATGACCAAGGAAATGAGGGCTGAGAAGGGATTTACCTATTAGAAGACCTTTGGCTACAGATATTCAGAATCCTTCTTAACAATGTTTTAGGCAAGTAGGGGTGTTTTTCTCAAATGACAAATGTGGAGGTGGTCAGCATTGATCCACAGATAAGATAATTGAATGATTTACATTTCAAGGGATTTCCATCCTGGTTGCATGATGGCATCCATAGCTTCAGGTAAAATGTCTGCATTCAAATCAGGAAGAAAGGGTTTGAGAAGGACCAGCAACATCTGTGCCTTTTATCAGAAAAGATTTCCCAGAAGCTCTTTAGCACACACCTGCTTGCATCTTATGGGCCACAACTGTTACATGACCACTCCTAGCAGCAAGGGAGGCTAAAAAAAGGAGAGCCTAGCCCTTTCAGCCTTTGTAGTAGAGGTAGGCCAATTAAGGGGTTAGAGAATGGGGCTGATTTAGCCATCCATCTACCAGGGAGCGTTTGCATGATATAAGATAGGATGATTATGTTTACAACTGAAAAGAGGCATGAGAGAGTCAGGAGACAGCAATGAGTAGATGTACAGCTCAGATGAGGAAAATAAGATTTGGCACACAGAGGCTTTAGGAATACTTTCAACAAGAGGAGGGAAACTTTCCAATAAGAGTGGTTGGAATAAATAAATCGTGGGTCCAGAAAATGTGGGCAATAGTGGAGTAAGTGCCTATGATCTCTCATTGTTTAGCTCCTAAGCAGTCCAGAGTCTCTGGGCAATCACTACTCAGGGTTAAAATCTTACTGACTTCAACTCATTGCCATACAAAGCTTCAGCACCTTCATTACTTTCTCTCCCCCTTGTTTTATGCCTTCCTTTTGAACCTTTATTTTTCTGCTGTCTTCGTCATTTTAATTTCTTTTCTACCCATCCCTTCTCTGCCCCCCTTCTTCTTAATTCATTTCTTTCTCTTGAGATCAGGTGGAATACAAACATATGAAGGGAAAGGAGTAGAATGGATATAAGAAAGAGTAATTATTGAAAATCTAAGTTTTGGGGGATACAATTAGTTCAGTGTTAAATTCCTTCTTTGCCTGTTCAGACTCTCCACCATGCGACCAGTGCACTGGTTTCATTAATGAGGTTCTTGGCATAAAAGTTAGCTAGCAGAGATCGAAATAAAACACACAGACTCAGTTACCTTTTTCTATGACCAGGTCCGAGACGGCTCCCCTCTCTGGCTCCAACCTTGAACCACCCGTAGGGCAGCAAGGATTACTCAGGGCTAGCAGGAGAGAGAGAGGGCGAGCACGCCAGGGAGTAGCCTTTTATTGGGGAACAAGAAATTCAGGGGAGAATTCCATCCAATGAAGGTTGAGGGGGGGCCGCACTCCAAGGTCAGGGTCAGTGATTGGGCCCCCGGGGTCAGTGGTCAGTCACACCCCCACACGGACGGGTTCTTTCATCAGGAGAGGGCCGGGAAAGCTCCGACACAGATTAGTCAGAGCGCCTCAGACCCAAACCGGGAGTCGCCCAGTCATGTGTGAGAATGGCTCTCCACAAGACTCCATGAGTTTATATATGAGTATAGTCAAGGAGCCCCAGAATCAGCAGGATGAGTCAAGGGGTGTGTTTAAGCAGGAAATGGGGAAGAATAGTGGAGAAGCTCATGGCCAGTGATTTGCTCCATCCTCCTCATTCCTCTGTGCTTGAAATGAGAGAAAGGAGGATATTTATTTGTAAAACACCTGGATAGAATATTCAAAGTATAAGGGTCTGAGCGAGAATACCTTGGTTATAGCGTCCTCTTGTTAAACCGAGTCTTACTTTGGTCTCAATTCTCAAGTAGAATTGTAACTTCTATAATATTTGAGGACTTTTTGTGTGTGCCACTTGAAATGCAGTATAGCCAGACTCTGTGGCAACTGAGAACCATCATTAGCCAAGGATTTGTAGGTGCGCTCTCTCTGTGCCCTTCCCCTTGTCACTACTACCACCACCATATGGGCTCCCATTGCTGTGTTTTTTCCATTATCTCAGTTACCTTGGCTTCCTTTACTTAAAATTAAATTCATGTGACCCAGAATCATCAGGTCTCCTATCTGACCCTTGTATCTCTCTTAATTCTAAAATTTCATGAAAGAAACCTAATTGGTCCAGATCATCCTTTTAAGACAGGCTCTGTCTTAAAAGTCACTTTTTTGGCCAAGTATCTGTCCCTTTTCCAATCAGCTGGTGGGGTGGAGGCTGCCATATGGTCACTGTAGATGTTGTCAGGCCTATGAGCAGCAGACAGATAGCCATGACCAATATGCCTTTAGATATTTACTAAGTACCTTCTCAGTAGTTTCTGGGGATCGAGAGCCCTAAAGGAATTCATGGCAGGAGAGTCAGTAAAAGAGAATTTGGATGTATTGAATGACTTCTAAAGAGCAAGAAACGCAGGGTCCTCTGCAACTACACAGAATGGGGTGATTAGTTATATTTTATCTGTAACTGAGCTCAAAAGACAAATTGGGCCATTTACACACTTAAGTAGGTTAGCAATCTGAGTTCTGTAACACAGGTGGAGCAGCAGACTATGGTGCCAGTACCCCTCTTGTAGATAATGCATAAACAGCCCCCTAAACTTGGATGATTATGGAGACTGCATTGGGCTTCTAAACACACACATACACACACACACACCAGATCTGGATGAGTGCTTAGGATATAGTTGAGGTGGGTTACTTTCTTGTGTATATACACATTTGGCATAAGTTAGTTCATGCCTGCAGTCCACACACTTGATTGCTTTTGCACTGTACATTTGAACAAGTATGATAAGATACTGCTCCTACTCATAGTGTGTAAGTCAGCTCCTATCAATTCTAGGATGAAAGACCCCTAGTCCCTACTGCAAAGTAGCTCCTAGCACAGGGTACCATTGGAGTGAGCCAGTTGGTGCAAAGAAGACAAGGGAAATGGGAAGTTGGGGCGGGGGGGAGTGTGTGTGAATAAAGGAGTAACTACAAGAAGGCTAATACAGTGTATATTTAGAGCGTTAAGTAGAAGGAAGTTATAGGAAGTGAAGCTAAAGGAAGCTTTTACTACATCCTTACTGCAGGGGTCTTGTAACAGGGTTTAGCAAACAAACGTAGGAACTAGCCATTATCCTGAGGAAGGGTATTTAGAGTTGATAAAGGTGTTGGTGGAATAAAATCATCAATAAAACCCCAAATAGAATGCTGTGGTGTCACATAAAGTCATTGACATTGCTCCCTAAAAGGTGGCCAACAATTCCTTAAGTGGCAAATCTCAAGTGACATTCTTGCCTTTTAAATTTTATTTTACCAACAACAAAGTTAAAACCCTCTAATCTTTCCTTCCTGAGCTCCATGAAAGTCATGTATTCAAATGCAACTAAATATCTCCAGTGGAATATCCTTAGACATCACTGCATCCTCAGTAAAAATAAACACCAACTTCTAAACATTATCCACTTGTTTAAGAATAAGACTCATTGGGATCCAAGTTCCCTTGCCCTCCCTCAGCCCTGTTTGATAAGTTATCAAGACCTAAGTCTATTCTGTCTTGGGCATTTATCAGTACCGTTCTGGGTTCCCTCAGTCACCAGCCGGGTTCAAGCTGCCATCAGCTCTGTTCTGAGTCGCAGTCTGCCCTGCTCTAAGGGCCTTCACCCCAATGTCCCTGTCCTCGCACTAAAAGAAATTTCCTCCCACTGAAGAAATTATCGTGACGTCTCGGAATCCACGCCCTGGTCGACTGCAGGGCCAGATGGGTAATACCCAGTGCTTCTTCGGGGCAAAGGGCGCAATCCCGCCAGCTTTTCGAGTCTTTTTGGCACCGTTCTCCAAGAACGTGCCATTTGGCTCTCCTACTGTCTCCGGAGACCTTAACCGATCCGCTCTTGTCACCACATCAGGCGCCGCTCCGCTGGACTCTCCCTCATCGCTGATCAACTGTTCCTGGTGTATAGTTTCCCGGGCTTTATTTCAAGGTAGAGGCCCACGCCGAATCTGCACAGAACGGAACAGAATCCGTGCACAGCGGTTATGCGTGGAGGTTTAGTTGAATAAGGCGAACGAGGATGCACCCGCCGAGGCTCCTGGGAAACGTAGTTCAGCATCCCAAACCGCTAGTCCCGGGCGCTGGAGCTCAGATCATTGTCCGCGCAGGCGCACGCCATCATTTTCTCCGCCAATTCTCCTGGGAAGTGGAGTCCGGCAGCCCTAGCTCAGCCGACCTAAGGCTTGTGGGAATTCGGCTCCGCGGTTCCCAGGGCAACGCGCAAGCGCAGTGCAGATCCAGGCTGCAGACTCCTGCTCATTGTGTTCTGACTGCGATGTGGTGGTTGCGGTTTCTCGCCACCAGCGGAGGCTTCTGCAAGGGCAACCCAGCGGCGACCAGGCACGGTGACCAAAGTCGCAAAGGGAGAGCGGAAGCAGCTGTGGGGTGGTCAGGTCTGGGAAGAAGGGCGGAAGGGAAACTGAGGATTTCTGGGTTGCGGTCCATTCTGGAGGATACTGACCAAATGCCCCAAACTTTCCAGAATGTATGTCTGAGATTTGATTCCAAACCGGGGCGGGGGGAATAAAAAAAGGAGGACGGTCTGGAATGGGCATCTTGGGCTTGGGGTTCGAATCAGAGTGCTTGTGGAGGACCATGGGGCGGGGCCTCTAGCACGTCTTGGAGCGGACCCTGGAAAGCCCATTTATACTTCGGGGATAGTTGTATTCCCGATGCGTTTCAGAGCTGTGCATGAGGAACTTGCCTAGTGCAGGGACAGCTGCAGTGCAGCCCTTGCAGTAGCTCCCCGGAGTACCTAATGAAGCCGCCGAGGGTGATTGCAGGAAGGACTCTTGATCCCGTACTCCTTTCTCACCCCACTCCCACAAATACATTGTTTCTGGCCTGCCTTTGGTTCCAGGTCGCCCAGATGGCCCCAGAGAAGGGCTTAGCCTAAGAGAGATACATACACAATGAAGATCTACTTAGCTTGCCTCCTTTTTCAGGAGGAAGTTCACCCCCTTCCCGATTTCTTCACTCCTCCGAGTTAGCTGCCCTAGGAGGAGAGACAATTTCTTGACTCCTCAGCACTGCTAAAGCAGTAAAGGATAGAGGATGGGTAGAAAGTGTGAGAGCTGGCAGTGGAGCAGGGCTTTCTGCAAGAAGTCCAAGTATTGAAATACAGAAGGGAGGGGCTGGGGATATAGCTCAATTGGTAGAGTGCTTGCCTTGCATGCATTAAGCTGTGGGTTCAAACCCTAGCACCATAAAAAAATAAAATAAAATAAAAACTTCATTCCCTAAAATACAGAAGGGAAGGCATGGAGTTTTTGAGTAAAGGAAAGATGTGATGAGGGGAAAGTTGCATGGTGAGCAATTCACCTAACAGTGGAGGAAAAGAAAAATGCTTTCAGAAGCAGGAAAGAAAATTGGGAACAAAGAAAGACCAAAGAGTTCATAGCTTTCGGATACAGGGGGATTCCCAGGATATGAATGCTTACAGACTCACTCCCAGATGCTATGTGGTATTTTTTGACCCAGTCCTCTCCTCATAACAGGTTTCTAGACATTTCTACTCTTAGGAATCCTGCAGTTGCAAAGCTGCCCACTTGCCTCCTCAGCACTTTGCCTATCCCTAAGAGGGCTCATCAAAGAAGGAATGGCTGTCAGTTACCTGCCCACCATAGTCCAGGTGAGTGAGAGAGTGTTGCCTAAATTGCCTTCTAGATATGAAGAGTGTGAAGCTGTTGTTTTCCCTGAGCTGGAGCTTTACTTCTACACTAGCCTCCCCCAGACACTTGACCCCAGTCACTCCCTCCCTACTCGTATTGGGCTCATGGTAGCGGGTGTTGGAGTTAAGTAACTTGTTAAAGGTCATCAGTGGCACAACTGGAACTGGAACACAGGTTTGTTTGAAATAAAAATCTTTCCACTAGCATTCTTTCAAGTACTACCATAAGCAAAAGCTGGCATTTACTAGAAAGATACTGAGGTATCTATCTAAAGCCAAAGACAAAGATACAGCTAGACTTTTGCTGTGTAAGAGGGTTTTAGAATAATCTAAAAGTCCTTTCTGTTAGACCCTTGGCTTTCTTTTCTGACTTCAGCTTAACTCTTTACAGTGTATACCAGCTCCCTTGGCTCTTCTGTTGGCCAAGAAGACCAGTGATGTGAAAGTTGTTGACTTTTACATGTTAGATTGCATATACCTGATAGAGACTGCTTCTTCTCTGTCCTTGTTACAGAATTTCAAAGAAAAGGATTATTTGTAGTTGAGGGGACATTGACCCAAGGTACAGAATTACTGTTTACATGGGACATGTGTGTGTGCGTGCATGCTCGCACATATGTTGGGGGTGGCAGATGAGCAGTTGAAGAAAAGCAGGAATTGCTGAAAAACAAATACAGTTTATATCACTTAACAATGGAACACATTCTGAGAAATGCATCCTTAGGCAATTTCACCCTTTTATTTTTCTCTAACATAAAGAGTATTAGTGAAAATCTAGATGGTCCAGATCAGTCACTCAATGTGGCATCTTGATACAATGAAGAGATTCAAGAAACACTAGATATATGAGGTTCTTGCCAGCATTAACACAGCATACTGTTTTATAGTAAACTAGTTGTACACTCTAAAATAATGACAAAAAATATAGAGAATACATTAATCAGTAACATGGTTATTTACCATAATTATCAAATATTAGCACAGTATAGTATATATTAGTACTTGACCATATATATTATACTGTTATATGACTAACTGTGCAGTAGGATTGTTTACACCAGCATCACCACAAACACAAAAGTAATATGTTGTGCTAAGATTTTACAGTGGCTATAATATCACCAGGCAATAGGGATTTTTCAACTCCATTATAATCTTATGGGAACACCTCTGTATGCACAGTCTGTCATTGACCAAAACATCATTATGTGTTGCATGACTATAATAGGTGCTGACTCCTCAAACCATATTGTAGATACTAAGAAAATGAAGGAGATATAGAACTGCTTAATGCCTTCTTGAAAATAGGCAGTGAGGGAGACCGAAAGTAAACCAAAAATCACAATAAAGTGGGCCACTACTTTGATGGGCCCACATAGGTAACTGTAGAAGCAGTCAGGGAAGGCTGTGCTGAGGAAGGAATGTCCAAGCTGAGACCTAAGTAGGATTTAGTCATATGAGGGAGGCCAGAAGCAGGGCTGGGCAGATTGAGGGAGATGAGAGAAAATGTTGAGGGCAAAATGAACAGCAAGCGTATGGTCCTAGTGCTCAGTCACTACCATCTATATCTTCAAAACGGAGGAAAAACTTTTAATACAAAAATAAGCCTTTCAGAGACCTAGAGGAAATGCCTAACCTGTCTCAGTATACCAGCTCCCTATAGCTAATAGTCCTGTGAATCCTAACAAGCTCCTGGGGACAGCCAGTCTCAGCTTCCCCAGAATAGCCCCCAGTCAATAAGAATGGATTTGCTATTACAGGACTCGGTGACCTTCAAAGATGTGGCTGTGCTTTTCACCCAGGAGGAATGGGGGCAACTAAGCCGTGCCCAGCGAGCCCTGTACAAGGATGTGATGCTGGAAAACTACAGCAACTTAGTCTCATTAGGTAAGGTGGGAGCCTTGAAAGATTTATCTTCACTTTTGGGGATCTTGTTAGGACCCTTAAACTGAAGCCACACTAAACATTGGGTTGGAAATGGGCCAATTAAGGATGTTATCTTCAAAGCTGCTACTTGCCTATCCTTGGTGTCCCCAGGCTTTTAGAGTCTCAAGTGGAGATGCCTCAAAAGTGGCTAGGAGTCAAATTCTCCCTGAACTCTTTCAGCAGGGTGGGGCCTGGAAGCAGATTGTCAGACCTGAGCCACTTCTTTCTCTCACTGTGAATATGTTGTCCACCCTGGATCTTCCTATCAGATTACCTTTGCTAGGAAGTTCTGAGGACCAGGCCTCATCCTTGCAATGATTTTTTATCACTATTATGAACAGATTGGTCCATTTTCCCCCTCAAAAACAGGACTGTTAGGACCCAAACCAGACATATTTTCTCAACTGGGAAAAGGGGAAGATTGGATCCCAGAGGACACCTCAGGAGACTTCTCTCTTGGTAAGAATCACAAGTATGGGGACCTTGGGAGGGACCCAAATGGTCAGGATAGGCATGAAATCTCAACTAACATGCCAGGCCTGTTGCTGCATATGTCTCCCAGCATGCATTGCCAAATTGTGGCATGCCTTTCTTGTGCCAGTTTGTGCCTCTCTGAACCCTCCCCCCATGATTTCTTTTTTCTCTCCTTGTTTGGCATAGATGAATAGTTTCAGTTTTAGAAAATATCATCTGGGCCGTTGTTCCCCAACCCCATGCTTGAGCTTCCTCTACTACATCTGACAGTATAATGTCTACTGAAACGTCTCTAGTGGGGAGGAACCACACAGCAGGGCAGCTTAAAGGCCAGTTAAATGCCTATTAAGCTCCTCTCTTTCTAGCAAAACATTGCACATTTCTTCAACTACCTCATATTTCTTCATCCACATGGATATACATTCAATCAAGATTTCATTGTCCTCTACCTTTTGCCAGGCATTGTGCTAGAGAGCTTGGTTTGTCATATCTTTTGCTGTATTGCTCATGCCTAGTACAATGCTTGGCACCTGGTAAGTGGCATAGACCTTTTGCTTGGGATTTCAGAGAATACAGCAGTTTAGTGGTATTGCTTGTCCTAAGGAGTCCATTGGGTCTGGGTTCTTAAGGGTAGGGGGTACATCTTTCCATGGTCATCTGATATTCAAAAGGCTCATTCCTTTATTTTAAAACACTATAATATTGCACTTGCAGCTATCATTTTGCATCCTATAAAATATATTTGCAAACCTTTAATTTTATTTTTTCATAGTAACCCAGTGAAGTAGGCAGGAATTTATATCTTACAGTAAATAACTGCACACCTGGAATGTCTGGGACTCGATCTTATTTTCAAAACTCAGTTATCAAAATCCTTTAAATTACTACAATAGAATTCTGAATCTTCTCTGAGTTTCTATGTTGTATTACAACCCAACAGGTATTTTTAATGTTTCATTCTATGTTACACAAATGAGTTATAACCAGCAAGCAAGGGAAAGGGGATTCAGAAAAAAGAAATTTATCCACAATTCTATCACTCTGATATAACTGCTTTTATTTGAATCATTCAGTTAGCCATTTACTCATCATTAACACTAATTTCCTATTGTGCTGGAGTAGTACAATCAGGAAAGACTATTTTTTTGAAAGATGTTTATGCCTAGAAGGGTTTTATAGTCAGGTGTGGGTGATAACATGAAAACACCGACAGTAATAGTTCAGTTCCTCCCAGGTCCTTTTCCCAGTCATGGAAGGTGTGTTATTTTATATCTTTCAATAAAACTCAATAGTTTCCTTCTTACTCCATTTCCCATTAAAATTATAATTTATATGTATATGCATGTATGTATATTTTTAATAGAACTATCACCTCTTTTGTTTTTTTAAACTGGAAATTCTGCTATAAAGAAATGTTAATTCTAACCAGGCATGGTTGGTGGCTCATGCCTGTAATCCCAGTGGCCAAGAGGCTGAGGCAGGAGGATTGTGGGTTCAAAGCCAGCCTCACAACTTAGTGAGGCCGTAAGAAATTTATGAGACCCTGTCTCTTAATAAAATATATTAAAAAGAGCTGGGGATGTGACTCAGTGGTTAAGCACCCCTGGGTTCAATCCCAGTACCAAAAAAAAAAAAAAGAAAAGAAAAGAAAGAAAGAAAAAGAAATACTAATCCTTTCCAAGTGCATATTATCCTCTTGTCACTCTAATTCATATTCATTTTTAAAGTGTTTATTCAATTTGTTTTTAATTTTTCTAATTTCTGTTTCATTTCTTAATGACTGTTTAGGACTCCAAAGACTATATAGAATAATAATAGGATTTATTTCTGATTCTCAAAATATAGATTGAGCATCCTTAATCCAAAAATTCAAAATCTGAAATGCTCCAAAATCCCAAAATTTTTTGAGTGCTGACATGCTGGCCACAAGTAGAAAATTACACACTTGATTTCATGGAACAGGCCACAGTAAAAAATGCAGGTACACTGAAAGTATCGTAGTAAATTACCTTCTGTCTGAATTTCATGTTTAAGTGTGGATCCCAACTCTAAGGTATCTCATTATGTATATACAAATCCAAAGAAATCTAAAACACTTCTGGTCCCAGGCATTTCAAATAAGGGCTACTCACCATGTATTCTATCTAGAACTTTTTCATTGTTGCACACCTTACTCTTAGTTTAGAATAGACAGTTATTTTTAATCGTGGTAAGAAAAAGTCCTTCAGAGAGTTTTCTTTTTTAATTTTTCTGTTCTCTGGGCCATAAGGTAGTAAAGGGAGGAGAGAGCTAATATGTGAGCATTATACCTGGTGATTTTGCAGGAAATATATATTTGCTGCCTATTTAATTCTTACAACCTGTGAAGCAAGTACAATGAATCCTGTTTCACATATAACTGAGCCTGAGGGGGATAACTAATCTGAACTGATTTATTATTGCTATTAAGTGGTAAGTCCGGATTGGCAAAAGGCCAGCATGAGATCTATCAGCTCTTAAAACTTGCATTTCTTTCCTTTTCCAAAAGTATAATTACACAGAAATTGTTTATTTCATTAACTCAGAAAACAAAAGGCTACCTGATCTCTTAATTTGAGTAGTTTGCTAATCACTTATATAATTTGTTTCTTATTTATCACCCTGTTAGGTTTGTGTTCTACCAGCTGTACATTTTACCTTTTTATCTTTAACATGTTTTTTTTTTTCCTTGAGCTATAAAATGCATGAGTTTACAACCATGAAGAGTACTCATTTAAGGTTTTAACATCATGTGTTAGGTTCTCTTTTTCATTTTACTAGTTGACCTGCATTTTTTTCTTTTAAATTTGCTGGGATTTTTTTAAGAGAATAATTTCTTATATATTATTCTTCCATGATATAATTTTACTTCTGCACTTACCATTATCATTTCCTTTTTTTAACTTGGAAATACATTTATTTTGAATACTCTACATTGAATATACAAAAAAAAGAGTGTATAATTTTTTGAACAGTTTAAAGGATGATATGGAAACAGTACTCATGCCCTGCCATTCAGCTTAAGAAATGGAACATAACATAATGGAAGTCCACTGTGGCTCTCCTCATCACATCTTCCTCCTTGTACACCAGAGACAGCCATTAGCTTGATTTTACACCAGTATTTTCCAAGCTTCTCTTTGTGGGTTTTCCACATATATCTGTAGCTCTAAGCAGTATTCATCTTCCTTCCCATAAATATATGTATTGTACTATGGAAGCTTTTCCAGAACTTACTTTTTTTTCAAATCCATATTGAGGTAAATATATGTATTGTACTATGGAAGCTTTTCCAGAACATACTTTTTTTTCAAATCCATATTGAGGTATGTAGCTCTAGGTTACTTTTTAAAACTTTTTTTTAAAGTATTCATTCTCCTGATGGTTAGGTACATAGGCTATATCCAGATTTTTCTTCACTGTTGTAAATAATGACAACCTGAATATTCTTATACATATTTTCTTTGGGTATATTCACAGATTTAGCAATACTAGGCTTAAGGATATACACTACTTCAACTTTATTAGATATTCCCCAATTTTTTGTCAAGTTAATTGTTATAAATTACACTTACAGTTGATGCAAGTTCTTGTCTAAGGAGTTGCTTGCCCAAACCTGGATTTGTAAAACTTAAAAAATGTTGCTAGTCTTGCTCCCAAGAAATAGCATCACTGTGGTTTTATTTGTATTCCCTTTATTTACTGGAGAGTTTGAACATTTTTTTCATGTTATTGATTATTTGTGTTCTGTCACTTAAATATTCCTATTCTATGCCCATTTTCTATGATAGCTTATCTTTTTCTATTATGTATAGGTGTTACATATAGTCAGGAATCTATACTCTTGTTGTTTTTCCCCCATGTCTCTCTGTCTCTAGCAGGAGTTCTTATTTAATGAAGTAAAATACATTAGTCTTTATCTCTTTGATCTTTATTCTTTTTTTTTTTTTTTTTGATACCAGGGATTGAACTCAGGGGCACTCGACCACTGAGCCACATCCCCAGCCCTTATTTTGTATTTTATTTAGAGACAGGATCTTACGGAGTTGCTTAGGGCCTTGCTTTTGCTGAGGCTGGCTTTGAATTTGCCTGGCTTTGATTTATTGATCTTCCTGCCTCAACCTCCCGAGCTGCTGGGATTACAGGCATGTGCCACCACGCTTGGCTTGATCTTTATTCTTAGTGCTTTCTGTTTCCTGTTTAAATATCTTTTTTCCCCTTAGATCCTTAAGGAATGAATTTAGTCTTGTTTGCTGTCATATGCTTGGCATGTCAGGTCTCAGTACTGGTTTGTTGAATGGAAGAATGAATTTATAATAATATTTATTTTTTGTCTTTTTAAATATATGTCTTCTCAGAGGTTTGCCTTTTTTATTAGAATTTTTAATGAATAAACATTTGACTTTGCAAGTCCATTCTATTTTATTTTTATTAATTTTTGCTCCTCACTATTTATTTCCTTCAGTTCTTTGTTTGCTGATTTGTTTTGTTTGTTTTGTTTGGCGTTTATTCAAATTTTTTTCTTTCTTTTTAGTATTTATTTTTTCTTCAGATAATACAAGTATTCAGCTTAATGAAACTCTGTGAGATTTATTATAAACAATAGTGATTTCTTGTCCCCTTCCCCATTTCCTCTTCTCTGGAAGTAACCACTTTCTCTTCTTTTTGCTGATTATTTGATATATTTGTTTTCATGTCTCCAAGGAACATGTTTATATGCTACTTCTTGACTTTTTTTAGATAACATTTTTTCAATTTTTTCTATTAAAATTGATGATTAGTAGTGAGTTGTTTACTTCCTCTGTTGTGGGGGCTGTGGCCATGTCCCCCACTGTTTTTATCCCAGAGGATGGCCTTGGAGACAGTGTCTACGATCTGTGGCATCTGTGAGCTGGTCTTCTGTGTTCACTGGTCAAGACAATCCACCAGTTTGAATATGAATGTTGTGCTGATTGTGATGCCTACCT